CCCTGCTCCGTGCACTGTCTGTGCTGAGCCAGACTTGCTCCCCTGCCCTGTGCACTGTCTGTGCTGAGCCAGACCTGCTCCCCAGCACTGTGCACTGTGTGTGCTGAGCCAGACTTGCTCCCCTGCCCTGTGCACTGTCTGCTGAGCCAGACTTGCTCCCCTGCACTGTGCACTGTCTGTGCTGAGCCAGACTTGCTCCCCAGCACTGTGCACTGTCTGTGCTGAGCCAGACTTGCTCCCCTGCCCTGTGCACTGTCTGTGCTGAGCCAGACTTGCTCCCCTGCCCTGTGCACTGTCTGTGCTGAGCCAGACTTGCTCCCCTGCCCTGTGCACTGTCTGTGCTGAGCCAGACTTGCTCCCCTGCTCTGTGCATTGACTGTGCTGAGCCAGGCTTGCTCCCCTGCACTGTGCACTGACTGTGCTGAGCCAGGCTTGCTCCCCTGCACTGTGCACTGCCTGTGCTGAGCCAGGCTTGCTCTCCTGCACTGTGCACTGTCTGTGCTGAGCCAGACTTGCTCCCCTGCTCTGTGCACTGTCTGTGCTGAGCCAGACTTGCTCCCCAGCACTGTGCACTGTCTGTGCTGAGCCAGGCTTGTTCCCCAGCACTGTGCACTGTCTGTGCTGAGCCAGACTTGCTCCCCAGCACTGTGCACTGTCTGTGCTGCGCCAGACTTGTTCCCCAGCTCTGAGCACTGTCTGTGCTGAGCCAGACTTGCTCCCTTGCTCTGTGCACTGTCTGTGCTGAGCCAGGCTTGCTCCCCAGCACTGTGCACTGTCTGTGCTGAGCCAGACTTGCTCCCCCGCTCTGTGCACTGTCTATGCTGAGCCAGACTTGTTCCCCTGCACTGTGCACTGTCTGTGCTGAGCCAGGCTTGCTCCCCAGCACTGTGCACTGTCTGTGCTGAGCCAGACTTGCTCCCCTGCTCTGTGCACTGTCTGTGCTGAGCCAGACTTGCTCCCCAGCACTGTGCACTGTGTGTGCTGAGCCAGACTTGCTCCCTGCTCTGTGCACTGTCTGTGCTGAGCCAGACTTGCTCCCCTGCCCTGTGCACTGTCTGTGCTGAGCCAGACCTGCTCCCCAGCACTGTGCACTGTGTGTGCTGAGCCAGACTTGCTCCCCTGCCCTGTGCACTGTCTGCTGAGCCAGACTTGCTCCCCTGCACTGTGCACTGTCTGTGCTGAGCCAGACTTGCTCCCCAGCACTGTGCACTGTCTGTGCTGAGCCAGACTTGCTCCCCAGCACTGTGCACTGTCTGTGCTGAGCCAGACTTGCTCCCCTGCACTGTGCACTGTCTGTGCTGAGCCAGACTTGCTCCCCTGCACTGTGCACTGTCTGTGCTGAGCGAGATTTGTTCCCCTGCTCTGTGCACTGTTTCTGCTGCGCCAGACTTGTTCCCCTGCTTTGAGCACTGTCTGTGCTGAGCCAAACTTGCTCTCCTGCTCTGTGCACTGTCTGTGCTGAGCCAGACTTGCTCCCCAGCACTGTGCACTGTCTGTGCTCAGCCAGACTTGCTCCCCAGCACTGTGCACTGTCTGTGCTGAGCCAGGCTTGCTCCCCAGCACTGTGCACTGTCTGTGCTGAGCCAGACTTGCTCCCCTGCTCTGTGCACTGTCTGTGCTGAGCCAGACTTGCTCCCCTGCTCCGTGCACTGTCTGTGCTGAGCCAGACTTGCTCCCCTGCTCCGTGCACTGTCTGTGCTGAGCCAGACCTGCTCCCCTGCCCTGTGCACTGTCTGTGCTGAGCCAGACTTGCTCCCCAGCACTGTGCACTGTGTGTGCTGAGCCAGACTTGCTCCCCTGCACTGTGCACTGTCTGTGCTGAGCCAGACTTGCTCCCCAGCACTGTGCACTGTCTGTGCTGAGCCAGACTTGCTCCCCAGCACTGTGCACTGTCTGTGCTGAGCCAGACTTGCTCCCCTGCCCTGTGCACTGTCTGTGCTGAGCCAGACTTGCTCCCCTGCCCTGTGCACTGTCTGTGCTGAGCCAGACTTGCTCCCCTGCCCTGTGCACTGTCTGTGCTGAGCCAGACTTGCTCCCCTGCTCTGTGCATTGACTGTGCTGAGCCAGGCTTGCTCCCCTGCACTGTGCACTGACTGTGCTGAGCCAGGCTTGCTCCCCTGCACTGTGCACTGCCTGTGCTGAGCCAGGCTTGCTCTCCTGCACTGTGCACTGTCTGTGCTGAGCCAGACTTGCTCCCCTGCTCTGTGCACTGTCTGTGCTGAGCCAGACTTGCTCCCCAGCACTGTGCACTGTCTGTGCTGAGCCAGGCTTGTTCCCCAGCACTGTGCACTGTCTGTGCTGAGCCAGGCTTGCTCCCCAGCACTGTGCACTGTCTGTGCTGCGCCAGACTTGTTCCCCAGCTCTGAGCACTGTCTGTGCTGAGCCAGACTTGCTCCCTTGCTCTGTGCACTGTCTGTGCTGAGCCAGGCTTGCTCCCCAGCACTGTGCACTGTCTGTGCTGAGCCAGACTTGCTACCCCGCTCTGTGCACTGTCTATGCTGAGCCAGACTTGTTCCCCTGCACTGTGCACTGTCTGTGCTGAGCGAGATTTGTTCCCCTGCTCTGTGCACTGTTTCTGCTGCGCCAGACTTGTTCCCCTGCTTTGAGCACTGTCTGTGCTGAGCCAGACTTGCTCTCCTGCTCTGTGCACTGTCTGTGCTGAGCCAGACTTGCTCCCCAGCACTGTGCACTGTCTGTGCTGAGGCAGACTTGCTCCCCAGCACTGTGCACTGTCTGTGCTGAGCCAGGCTTGCTCCCCAGCACTGTGCACTGTCTGTGCTGAGCCAGACTTGCTCCCCTGCTCTGTGCACTGTCTGTGCTGAGCAAGACTTGCTCCCCAGCACTGTGCACTGTGTGTGCTGAGCCAGACTTGCTCCCCTGCTCTGTGCACTGTCTGTGCTGAGCCAGACTTGCTCCCCTGCCCTGTGCACTGTCTGTGCTGAGCCAGACTTGCTCCCCAGCACTGTGCACTGTGTGTGCTGAGCCAGACTTGCTCCCCTGCCCTGTGCACTGTCTGCTGAGCCAGACTTGCTCCCCTGCACTGTGCACTGTCTGTGCTGAGCCAGACTTGCTTCCCAGCACTGTGCACTGTCTGTGCTGAGCCAGACTTGCTCCCCTGCTCTGTGCACTGTCTGTGCTGAGCCAGACTTGCTCCCCTGCCCTGTGCACTGTCTGTGCTGAGCCAGACTTGCTCCCCTGCACTGTGCACTGTCTGTGCTGAGCCAGACTTGCTCCCCAGCACTGTGCACTGTCTGTGCTGAGCCAGACTTGCTCCCCAGCACTGTGCACTGTCTGTGCTGAGCCAGATTGCTCCCCAGCACTGTGCACTGTCTGTGCTGAGCCAGACTTGCTCCCCAGCACTGTGCACTGTCTGTGCTGAGCCAGACTTGCTCCCCAGCACTGTGCACTGTCTGTGCTGAGCCAGACTTGCTCCCCTGCACTGTGCACTGTCTGTGCTGAGCCAGACTTGCTCTCCTGCACTGTGCACTGTGTGTGCTGAGCCAGACTTGCTCCCCAGCACTGTGCACTGTCTGTGCTGAGCCAGACTTGTTCCCCTGCTCTGTGCACTGTGTGTGCTGAGCCAGACTTGCTCCCCAGCACTGTGCACTGTCTGTGCTGAGCCAGACTTGCTCCCCTGCCCTGTGCACTGTCTGTGCTGAGCCAGACTTGCTCCCCTGCCCTGTGCACTGTCTGTGCTGAGCCAGACTTGCTCCCCTGCTCTGTGCATTGACTGTGCTGAGCCAGGCTTGCTCCCCTGCACTGTGCACTGACTGTGCTGAGCCAGGCTTGCTCCCATGCACTGTGCACTGCCTGTGCTGAGCCAGGCTTGCTCTCCTGCACTGTGCACTGTCTGTGCTGAGCCAGACTTGCTCCCCTGCTCTGTGCACTGTCTGTGCTGAGCCAGACTTGCTCCCCAGCACTGTGCACTGTCTGTGCTGAGCCAGGCTTGTTCCCCAGCACTGTGCACTGTCTGTGCTGAGCCAGACTTGCTCCCCAGCACTGTGCACTGTCTGTGCTGCGCCAGACTTGTTCCCCAGCTCTGAGCACTGTCTGTGCTGAGCCAGACTTGCTCCCTTGCTCTGTGCACTGTCTGTGCTGAGCCAGGCTTGCTCCCCAGCACTGTGCACTGTCTGTGCTGAGCCAGACTTGCTCCCCCGCTCTGTGCACTGTCTATGCTGAGCCAGACTTGTTCCCCTGCACTGTGCACTGTCTGTGCTGAGCGAGATTGTTCCCCTGCTCTGTGCACTGTTTCTGCTGCGCCAGACTTGTTCCCCTGCTTTGAGCACTGTCTGTGCTGAGCCAGACTTGCTCTCCTGCTCTGTGCACTGTCTGTGCTGAGCCAGACTTGCTCCCCAGCACTGTGCACTGTCTGTGCTCAGCCAGACTTGCTCCCCAGCACTGTGCACTGTCTGTGCTGAGCCAGGCTTGCTCCCCAGCACTGTGCACTGTCTGTGCTGAGCCAGACTTGCTCCCCTGCTCTGTGCACTGTCTGTGCTGAGCCAGACTTGCTCCCCAGCACTGTGCACTGTGTGTGCTGAGCCAGACTTGCTCCCCAGCACTGTGCACTGTCTGTGCTGAGCCAGACTTGCTCCCCTGCCCTGTGCACTGTCTGTGCTGAGCCAGACCTGCTCCCCAGCACTGTGCACTGTCTGTGCTGAGCCAGACTTGCTCCCCAGCACTGTGCACTGTCTGTGCTGAGCCAGACTTGCTCCCCTGCACTGTGCACTGTCTGTGCTGAGCCAGACTTGCTCCCCTGCCCTGTGCACTGTCTGTGCTGAGCCAGACCTGCTCCCCAGCACTGTGCACTGTCTGTGCTGAGCCAGACTTGCTCCCCAGCACTGTGCACTGTCTGTGCTGAGCCAGACTTGCTCCCCAGCACTGTGCACTGTCTGTGCTGAGCCAGACTTGCTCCCCAGCACTGTGCACTGTCTGTGCTGAGCCAGACTTGCTCCCCTGCTCTGTGCACTGTCTGTGCTGAGGTGGAGGGAGGGCGCGTGCGCGGGAGGAGCTGAGGTCGCGGTGACGCGGGAAGATGGCGGCTCAGTAGAGAGTCGGCGGCTGCGGAGGAGCGGCTTTAGCGCCTCTCACGACCGGTAAGTGAGGGTCTGAGGCCCGGGGGGAGGAGGGGAGGAGAGAGCGGGGGGTGGGGAGGGGGAGACACACAGACAGTCACACACACACAGACAGTCAGGCGGTGGCCGGTGGTCGCGGGGAGTTGGCGGCTTCAGCGGCCGCTCGACCCCCCGCTCTGCCGCCCGCGGAGCCCGACAGCGGAGAGAAGAGGAGCCGCGGCGCCCCCGCGCCGCCCCCCCCCCCCCGGCACCGGGGCACCGGGTCCACCCGCCCCCCGCAGGCCCCGCGCTCCCTCCCCAGCACCCGCTGCCGTGGCCGTGGCCGGAGGGCGGGCGGTGTTGACATGGGCTCCAGCCTCGAGCTTCACTGTGGGCGACAACAACAACAACTTACACGATGGCATTGGAGGCTCCGGGGCTGAGCTGTGCTGTGCTGAGCTGTGCCCGGGGGGGGGGGGAGTAGGGGGGAGTGGGGGTTGTTTGTGTGTTTTAAATATGTGTATATATATATATGTATTTAAGAAAATGATTTGCATTCCTGTTGACATTTTCCTCCTCGGGGGGTTTTTTTTTTTTGTGTCGCTTTCCCTGTGCTTCACTGGTCTCGGGTTTACCTGTTGATGGGACGGACCGTCTTGAAGAGGAGTCCCCGGCGCCGTGTTTTTATTTATTATTTTGTTTCCCCGTTGCCCTCCAGAGGGACAGAGAGGCAGCGAGAGTGAGACGGCACCGCTCTCCAGAAACCGGGGTCGCAAAACGACGTGCTTTTGCATCGTCCTTTTCAGTGTTGTGCTGAAAGTCGGGAGCGACCCCCACACACAGTTCGTGAGGCAACTCCCGAATTCCGGCACACCCCGAGTTTGGAAAAAGCAACGACTGCTCCAAAGCGAATTTGACCGAACTGGTTTCACTGCCAGTCGACCAAAAAAAAAAAAAAACCACCCACCCCACCACCCCCACACACGCTGTGTTTGTGCCAATTGTGTGTGGCCTTTGGTTCTCGGGCGTCGGTGAAACTTCAAAGTGTTTTTGCATTGCTTTTGTGACAAGTTGATTTGAAGCCACATGTGTGGGGGGTGTCATCCAATGGATGGGTGGGACTGCCTCACCTGTCTTGAGATTTTTGCTTCGTGTCGGCAGACGCGTCGCTGTTCAGACTTCCAACGTTGCTTGGAGGTTATCGCTTCTGTTTTGAGTTTGACTTGCCACGCCAGACCACGGCGCAAATCGTTCAGGGCACAAGAGGTCTCGTGCTTTGAAGTGTAATTTCCCAAACTTTGCGGTTGCGATTATCGTCTTTGAAAACGCCGGATCGAGTCTAATTTGGTTTCTATGCATAGCGTGACATTTTCTGGGGCTACAATTAAGAGTAGATAGAAATGGTCAGGCAATCATCAATGACTAATAAGTGTCCTTGTAATTCTATTTAATAATCTTTATATTTGCTTGTTGCGGATTCAAACTTCAAACCTCTTAAATGGAGAGCACTATGGCTTCCTTTCTGTCCTTTAGATGAAATGTTCAACTGAGGTCCCGTCTGCCTGTTTAAGTGGATATTATAGATACACTGCCACTAATTGAAAAGACAAGGGAGTTTCTCCTGGGATTGTGGCCAACAATATCCCCCAAATCATTTTTGGCAAATTAGTCATTTTTCCATCTCAGCACAGACAGTCCACGGTGCAGGGGAACAAGCCTGGATCAGCATCGACAGAATACAGTGCAGGGGAACAAGCAAAATCATTTTAAAAATTAGTCATTTTGGGGCTATTGCTGTGTGCAAATTGACTGTCATGTTAACCTACATAATCTATAGTCACTACACTGCAGTAAATCCTGTGTAGAGCTTTGAAATATACTCTTGACGTAAAAGGCACTATATCAAGTATAAAAATATTATTTATTATTAAAGGAGAGGATCAGAACTGAATATTGGAATTTCAGAATAATCTATACACTAATGTAAATACAATTTATTTATTGTGACAATTGTTTGACATCAGATTTGTTTAGTAGCTATCAATACATATGTTTGCCCTCATCTTTGTTAAATGTAGTTTTTAATCAAACATTTCTGGATAAAGCAGACCAAAAGATAACCTGCTTGGATGCCCTTGTCAATACTGCTCTGACTAGTTGGGGATGCAAATCAGACTCCAGGGTCACTATACAATTTTAAAGTGTGCTGAAGCATTCTATATTTCTCTTTCGGTTTGGAACTTTTTGTAGTCTTCCTCTGATAATGTGCCAGAGATTCAGAATCCCTATCTTCAGAATTTGAAATGGAAATTGGATCCTATAGTACATTTAAGCAGAGTTCATGTTGTAATATATTGGCACATTGGCACTTTGTAGTTTTTGTTTGTTTTAGAAAAAGGGAAGGACCAGATGTGTTTTGTCAAATTAAATTATTAACAGAAGTTTCCTCCAGAGTATATGGCCTCAGAAACCCATGGAATTTTAAGACTGGATTCTGAAAAGATGTAGAAGCAGAAAATCAACAGATCAATTGTGCTATATGATGAATCTGGTACTAAAGTCATACTGTTTGAAACGAAAGATACAACTTATTGCTTTAATGCCTCCTTGAAAGTACATTATGCCATTATGGGGGTGGGGGGGGGAGCTCCCAATAGAACAAGTTTAACAGGACAGATCTAAAATTCTGAGGCACTAAAACTCATCCAGCAGCATACAAGTATTCAAATGCCTTGTTTTACTGGTGGCTACAATAAAACCAACAAATTGCAATTAACCCGAAAACACTAGAGACAAGAATTTTATCATGCTGAAGACCCTCCTCTTCGACCGTGCTTATTGTCTTCTACTCCCGCCTCCTGGCTCGGTATCACACTCCGTCACTGTTAAACGATACAGAGATGGATTGATAAACTCAAAATTCTGTGCCATAATAATGATAACTTCAGGTGAATTTACAACAGAAAAGAATAGAATTCTTTAGAATTAAAGTACTTTTTAACTTGGATTTCAACCAATGTAGTGAATCTCAAAGAAGGTTGAATCTTGATGGTTGCAAAATTGTGATTATTCACATTAAGACATACAAAGTGATGACACCTGCTGCAAACTTTTCAGTGCTTGAACTGGTTGAACAAGAAATAGTTGCAATGGGAGTTGGCTGTTAAAAATAGTTGTATGGATTGTGAAGCTGAATCAGTAGTGAGAACACAAATGGTAATTTATTGGATTCATTAGTAAGGAAACCAAGATTGGACTCCTTTCAGTAATTGCAAGAATGTCCGACTAACTTGGAGGTCTGCTCTGAAACCAAATTGTGTCGAAGCGGAGTTCCCATCAATTGTTTTCCTTATTAAGGAATCCTGTCAGAAATCTTTGCTCATCTGGAACTAGGGGGCTTTAAAAAAGAATTAGAATCATGAAAGATGAAGATACAAAGGAATATGGAAAATGAGCAGAGAAATGGGATAAGAGTAGTTAGCTCCAATGATGAGCTGTCACTGCAAAAGCACGATGGACCAAATACTCTCCTTTTTCTGCTGAAGTTTCTATGATTTGTATTTGTGATTTATAGATTTGATTTCAACTTGTCATAAAGCTGTACTTTACTGCTGTAGGATGTTAATTGAAATACCAACATTTCCGTTTGTTGATGTATTGTTCATGATTAACCTCTTTCCTTTTTTAAATAAATTGAGCAGTCGAGGTGAATCCAAGGTCCATAGTTGAGGACACCACCAAGATTCAAAAGATAATGATTTGGGAAGCAATGGTTGTGAGCCCAGGCTTCAATTTCACATGATAGATTGTTGGTGGAAGGGAAGTTTGAGGGATGTACAGAGTTTCATAGTTTTTGATCTTGGATAATAATTAGTTCCGGTTGGAACAATGCTATAATTAATTCAATGCATTGAGGATTCAGGTAAAAAGAAGAGTGCATAGGATGGCTTAGGATTTCAAGGAAGTTCAGATGAGCAATGATCATTGCATGTCGGGAGGATGTCCCAGTAAGACCAAAAGTAAGAGCGAGACCACCTAACACACAACTTTTTTTTGTGTTCTGTAGAACAGGGTGATCCAACTTTTAGCTGCTGAGGGCTGGGTGCCCTATTTGAGAAGCGTCCATAGGCCACAAAATCAATAACTTAGTGTTTCCCTTGCAGAAACATAATTACGGATCATGGAGGGAGCAGGTGGGCCAGATGAAATGGAGGGGTGGGGGGGCACGGAGGGGGCGGATGAACTTGGCCTGCGGGCCATCCTGTTGTAGAAGATTGTATGAATATAATTTGTTTGGTTATCCACATGTGGAAACCATATGTATGCTGCATACGCATTGAAATTACCCTTTCCCTTTTACTCTCGTCCTAGAGGGACACCCCTGTTTACCAAATTCTGGAGAATATAAGCCGCAGGTTGGCAAGAGTCAAGGTTTGGGGACCTCAGAGAATGCCTTGAGGGTGTTACTGAAGTTTAACCAGCTAAAATTGCATATTGCCTATCTGGCAAGCTTCCTGCTGCTTGTCCATCTAGGACCAGCCTACGTATTATGGCTTTAGATTGCAGGGTTAATATGAGCTGAGTGAGAAGAATCCCTGTTCCTGGTGATTAGTCTGCCCCCTTGCCAATGAGCCAGGTTGGCTGTGCCGGCATTAGCAATGCCCTGCAGGACAGCGGACTCGCCTGGCTCAGGAACAGTATCACCAAGACCGCACGCAACAAACGATCGACTTGATTGCGACACTCCGTTGCCAAGCACGTGTCACTTTGAAGCCCATCTCACCCTGTTTAATCCCCACCCCCCCCATATAAGAATGGATGAATTGAATTGTAAAATGTCCTCATGATTTCAGCTTTTTCCCCACTTCTTTCATAAACAACTATCTTTTTCCATCTACATTTGAATTGTTCCAAAGACTGTGCCATAAAAATGCTCTTTGATAAAGCCTACTTTCCCTAAGAAGTGAGCTAACCAAAAAATTATGGTATTTTAAAAAAAAAGCATTCTAAAGATCTTGAATTAATATTTATAGAGCTTTTAT